ACTGGGTAAATTACGCTCAGCTGCTTGCAGCTGGCGCGATTGATAACAGACGACGCGTTCAACGCCGTTTGAGTCGTACTCACCATCAACGCATCAACGCGCAGCTGATCGTAAAATCGCTGGCGTCACAGACCACAAGAAATGGTCTGTCCTGGTCTGCGATCGCCAACACAGGCGATTGTATCAAGCTTTTCTTGATGCCTTCAAAAGAGTGCTGACACTCAGCTCTCCATGACCACCTCCCGTTTTTCTGTAACAGACGAGAGAGATGTACGGTCATCCCGGCGTAGTTGCGCGAGTATTTGTGCAAGTACGCCGCCAAGCAAAGGAACTTTCGAAGTCCCTTGACGTCGATGGCACAGGCCATTCGCTAATCGCATTGATCTTTTCCGGATTAAGGCGTACACCGTTTTTACCCACGATGCAGCCAAGAAGTGGTATTTCGTTCGCTGCGAATATACACTTCTTGAAATTCGTGAACAACTTTTGCTCTCGTGTAAGTGTAAGAACCTTCCGGACGTGAATTTTATGAACCTACGCGTCCGTCTTTCCATCCATAGCCCGGCTATGGACGAAGACATCGTCGAAGTGACTCGGTGCAAAATCGCGCACCGATCGCAACAGATTCGTAGCACACCTGTTGAACGTTGCAGGGGCGTTACTTAGCCCCTGTGGCATCACTAGCCACTCCCAGAGCATACCACTGGGGGTGCTCATAGCCGTGTACGGGATGTCCCGTTCACGCATGAGGATCTGATAGAATCCACCCATCATATCCATGGATGAAAAGATGGTACTTTTTGCCGTACCATCTATGATGATATCCTTTCTCGGGATCGGCTTCTGAGCCGGTACCGTTGCAGCGTTCAATTTGCTGAACGCGTGCACTATCCGCCACCCTCCTGTGGCCTTTCGCACACAGAAGGTCGGAGAGCTGTATGGGGATGTTGAATACCTCACATGACCAGCCGCTAAACGATCGGCAAAGAATTAGTCGATCGCTTTGACCTGTTCACGAGGCAGTGGCTACTGCTTCATGACACAGTATTTCGAACCGGGTTCCAGTTCAATCTCATGTTGACTGCCTTTATCCTTAGGCAACTCGCATGGCACAGATTCAGGGAAAACATCCCTGAATTCAACCAAATCCTCATACAAAGGATTTGTCTTCAAAGACTCCCAAAGTTGAGACATGTATCGATCAATCCGGGTCTTCTCGTCGAGGACACTCTCGTCCATCGATGAGCTACTGAGAACCCGTTCGATCTCAGTAAACACTTGTGCCGACTGAATATCGGCGACGTCCTCGTCCTCTATGACGAGCCCGCAGATTATCTTGGTCTTGTCACTACGCAGACCTCGCACGAATCTTTCAAATTATAGCGTTGGCAACTTGATTACCTCCGAAGCTGATTTCAGAGGTTTAACAAGATCAAGTGTATAAGCGCCTTCACTTGATCGGTCATTCACAAAGACATTCACTGTCTCGGTGATTTACTGAGAAAACACATCCGCAGGTGGTTGGGGATCCACACCCTCAACATAACTCTCTCGGGGGGTTATCACTCTCAGGAACGCTGAAACTTTGTTCCAATACGTGTACTGACTGTGGGTGTACTTCCACAGTCACGTCCTCTTCTATTGAATCTCTTTCAGTCGATCAGGCTTGCTCTACGATCGACTCTCTGTTAGTCGATCTCACTTCAGCGTGTTGATCATCCTGAGCAACACTAATCTTCTCTTCTTGGATGCACCCTTCTTGGTTTGAATTCGTGTCCCGGTCTACTCGATCTCTTCGAGTGTTGAACCTTCGGCGCAGCCTGTGTCTCTACACAGGTGCCGGAAGCTGGTTCCACAGTGTAGTGGCCTTCTACACTGTGATCTTGTGCAATCGTACTAACGCCCGTACCACAAGTGAGGCCATTGCACTCACTCGTAGTACATCCACACGCTTGTGGACGCGCCAAGACGTTCATCAGATGGCCATCTGATAAACAAACGGCAGGCATCTTCACAGATCGATGCTGCCAGCTAACCCATGGCTGGTATTATCTAAGCCATGGCAGACCAAGGATGACATCAAATTTGTCATCCAGATCTAATACGATGAAGTCATCATCGTACTGCTTTCCTTCTCGCGTGTAGTGGATTCCCACTACACGTTTGTTCACTTTTACGGATGCGCCTGTAGCAAGGCACACCGTCATTCTCGTTGGAGGGAACTCTCGCTCAACATAGTTGAGCCTACTATTCCCTAGCGACTGGCGTCGAATGAAACTGTTCGACTCCCCACAGTCAACTAGGGCGCGAAGTGACATTCCACTTATCACTTCGATCTTCAAAGTGATGAGAGACTCCTCATCACTAGGGGCAGTAGTAACACACAGAGACTGCGTGTTGGGATCAATCTTCGTCAAGAGTCCTGCAAATTCTCTTGACGTTGCTGGATCAGCAGGGTGCTCCGCCCCTACTGACCCTGGCCGTTTTTTGGCGGTCCGACATGCTGTCGCGGTTTAACGACATGGTCGGTCCCGCGCCTTGGACCGTTCCTCGGCCAACGGCGGTCATCACGCCCTGTCCTTGGACGTGATGCGGTGCTCGGAACACTTTACTCATGAGCGTAGTGTACAATCTTCTGACAGCGATGGCATCTTGCCGTTCGCTTGTTACTCAGAGAGCGAGAGTTCTCGCTCTCGATGTAACAGAGGTCCATTGGTTCAGGACCTCCTGTTTCCTGTCGTCTCGTCGGACGATAGTTTGACGAGATAGCCTGAGATTGTCTCAGGCTGAAGTCTCCTTGTTCCGCATACGCTATCTCCTTTTCCAGCGTATGGAAGTCCTCTCGGAACATGTAAGTCTTCACCGGCCCGTCCACAAGGCCGTAGATGAACACGTTGATAAACGTGTGCTCATCAACAAGGTTTTCCGTAACGCTACTCGCAAGGTAGCGTAGGTGTTGTGCATAAGCGTGCACGTCACGCTTACCTTTCTTTAGCCTCAAGAGTGCAGAGCATGGTCTGAAGTCGGCTCTCGGCGGCTCAAACGTCTCTTTAAGCCGAGACTTCAAGATCTCTAACGACTCAAACACGTTTGGGTCATGAAGCTTGATCCCTAAGGCCCAAGTCTTTGCTCGTCCCGTCAAATTTGACAAGTCGAAGGTGACTTGCATCTCGTCACCCTCGATGTGACCAGCCCTGATTGCGTCGTCTAACTCGACGAACCATCTCAAAAGGGAATCTTCATCAGTTCTCTTGTACCTTGAGATATCTATCTTCCAGATTTCGGGTCGACGTATGTGCGTCAGCCCGCCCATCGACGATGAGAGCCTTGCTGTTGTAGCAAGGCTATCTTCTGTCGTTCGACGGCAAGTTCCCCTTGTAGGAACTTGTTGATAGCAGCATGTTGCTGATCTCTGCTTATAGACTTCAACATACCACTGATGGCGGGTTAGCCCATGAGCACACTCATGCGGCCGACTACCTCCCATTCGTAGTTACTCAGATGGGAGTAGCCTTCACGTGTGACGTGAAAGCTGTCGTCTTCTACATCCAACATGTTCATGTTGGACGGACACGAAGTGGTCGTTGGACGGACTACAAAGTGCTACCAGGTGTAACAGGACACCCTTTGTTTGGGGTGCCGCGAAACTTCACGTACACTCGTACGTGCAGAGGAAGCTTATCTACTTAAACGACTGTTAAGTAAGGGTAAAAAAAGAACTGTATTCAATATAGTCAAGCTATCAATATGACTTTAGTCTTTATCTAACTATGCTAAGCTACGTCGTCGTATGACGACAACCTGCTCCCCACTCATTGCGCGCGTCTAGCAGCGATTGGTGGCAACCTATGGTTGATATGTCTTATATCAACCAATCTTGGAGCAGCGCATGAATTTAATTCAAAGGGGATAACATTCCTTCAATATTATCCATCTCGGATAATATTGGTAGAATATTGTCATGCTAGACAATATCCCTATTGACACCGTTTAGTGTCAATTTCATGTAACGGGCTACCCCGTTACATCTACCGAACGCCATGAGCGCGGCTGAAGTGACGCACATGCTGTATCTACACGGTCTATGCCACCACCAGTGGTTTTCCAGGTGTTTCGGGCCACGATGGGTGACCGGCTGTATGAAGGTCTGGACCGGCTCTCGGCCTAATTTCAGAAGAGGCAGTTGGCGATTACGCTATGGCGCTTGTAGGCGTTGATGTCATGCTCCCTAGGAGTGAAGATGTGGGCGCAATGCAAATGTTAATGGAGACGACAGAAAGTATAGCCGTGTAATCGCGCATCCGTTGCTGTGGGGTACTCGCACATTCGTTGCTTGGTGTGCCGAAGTACGTACGTTTTTGCTACTTCGAATAGGTCGTGGCTTGGAGTGAGATGTAGCAACGATGAAATATAACGACAATGGAGTAGTATGGTGCTAGATTGATCATTTTGCTAAACAATCGATCGGTTCAGCTTCGGATCGTGTAACGAAATAGAGACATTTGACTGAAAGAACCTTTGACACGCTTTCTGATGCTATAATGCCGATCATCTGTTGACGAAATTGACCAGTACACTATCAGATGTTGTGTCGTGTATAAGGTTGAGAACTTGGAGAAGACACGTAAAACACGCTAATCACATGCAGAATCACTTATACCTGTGGGCACGGGATTTGGGTACGGTGCAGATTTTTGTTGGGTACGGCCCAGACAAACCCAGCGGTAGTAGTTAAGCTTACGAGGTACAATCCGAAGGGACGTGGAGTGGTATGTAGTTGTCTATTATTGTTGAGAGTCTAGACTGTGACGAAATCAATCACATTAAGCTCGCTAGGGTGCTACTCCCTTCGTCAAGTCAACTAAGTACAACAACGCCTATCGAACATGCATATCTGGTAACACACACCGACCGTGTCGTATCAGCAAACGAAACTTCGTGGTTTATCACTCACGTAAGACAAATGTGATCGGGTGTTTTCGAGAGAAATAAAAATGTACTTACTGCTTCGTGTACACATCCGATTCTAATTCAACGTGCACCGTGCTGTGTGATCTCTTGTAGACACCGCTGGAAGAACGGTTTGCAGCATTCGTCGTCGGCTTGTGCTCCGAGCTTGAGAACCGTAGCAACAGAGTGAGCAGTGCGCAGGCCAAGATAATAATGCCCATGTAAAGCAGTCCGGAACTGTACCCTTCAGTGCTGCGGAAAATAATGCCATACACCACGCCGCCCAAGTTACCCCCAGCACCGACTAATCCATTCACAGTGCCAGTGTGCTGTTCACTCAAGTATGGCACAATGCCGTAGGTCGAACCACCCGTTGCTTGTGCCGCGATGGCGACAAGCACGTAGAGTGCAATGCAAGCTCCAAGCGACTCGAGTTGACTCAATGTAATCACGAGCAAACCCAATGTGCACAAGAGTGTAAACTGCACACGCTTGCGGCCTCGCATGCCCAGTCTGGAATTCAAACTGTCCGATGCCAAGCCACCAAGAGCACGAGCAAAGATGTTCATGAGTCCAAAAGATGATGCCACAGTAGCAGCGTTGGTCGTCGAGAGCATGTAGCAAAGATTGCTGTCCGTTGGTAAACATCCCTCTTGAGGGAACTGCGTGTGGAAGTAAAGAGCACCCATATTGTTCAGCTGCAGTTCCGTGCCGAAGGCAGCTGCGTACTGCGCAATCATGACCAGGACATTGACGTCAGTCAAGACGATCTTGAACGACTGCAACATGGTCATAGGTGGCTTGGGAACGGACTGGACACCTCCGGTAGTAGGTGTCACTGGACGGACCATCGTCAAGCTTCCACTGACGCTTGTGCGAGCAGGTAGAGCTCTGCTGTCTTGTTCAGCTTGTCGCTTCATCTGCATGAGCTTCTGGAAATCTCCGGTTGGACAGCTGTCCACCGCAAAGCGGATGACAGTGCCCATGATCACCATGAGTACAGCAGGCAGAGCAATAGTGAGTCGCCAGCCAAGATCGGCCGACACGTGACCTCTACTGGTAATAGCTTCGTAAATGAAGGGCAGCACGAGGAAGGCAAAACCGATGCCCGAGACTCCCAGGCCACCTGTGATGGCATTGGCCGTGCCTGCAACATTGCGAGCGAAGGTGATCGTTGTCCAGTATTGACTCGAGACAAAGACACAGCCAACGAGGCCAATGAAGAACCGGACGAGAACTAAACTCGTAGCCGAGCTCACAAAAGCTGCACAAATGACAGGAATAGCCCCAAGCCAGAGCACCGTACTCTGCACCACTTGTGGCCCATAGCAATCGAGTACTGGACCCGATGCAATGCGGGACAAGATGGTACTGGCGGTACTGGCAATATCGGAATTCAGCACCTGCCCGTCTGTCAGGCCCAATTGGGTCTTGATCACCGGCATGAGCGGCGGGATCGCGTACCACCCGAAGAAGCCCGTGATCGCTGATATCCACGACAAGTAGAAGATGCGCATGTGTGGCCGTAGCAAACTCGTGGGTTTGATCACCGTCGCCCGGTCGAATTCCTCCGGGTCCACTGGCAAATCGTACTTGCAAGTTGCAAGAGTATCAACCTGCACGTCGTCGATACAGACGTACGCACTGTGGCGCGGCGTGAGGGAAGGAGACGGCAAGCTGCAAAGCTCCCGTCTTTCAGGGGGTTGTGGGGAGCAATGCATTCTTGAATTGACTAGCGGTTGACTATTTCGTGAGCGTTGATAATGGAGAGTTCTGACCAAGTCGGGGTTACTTGGTAAATAGCAAAGTGAGGGAAGAAGTCGCAATATGTCACCGGTAATTGGGCTTTTAGGTTCGGAGGTGTTGCACGTGTGTAGTTGGGTAGATAAGTTGTTACCCTACTTTTGAATAGATGCAGTTGTCGGCCATGACTATGCGTTATTCCTCTACTTTTTTGTGTGGGAATCTGTTTTCCCTGAAGGTTTCGGCGGCGACCAATCAACGCGACAGACAGGCTGCTTGTTTTTGGTTGTTTGAAGCTCTGTCGTCTGCCTCGTCACTTGTCATGTCCCGGGACGGTTTCTGCCCTTAATCGCCAACGGCCGTCCAATCGCCTCGATCGAAAGGTGGGAGACTTGCCGTAAGTAAGAAGTGAAGACAGCAAAGATACGCGGGAAGCCTCAGAAAAGCACCGACAAGTACTGAGATGTGCTCGGTGCGGGTCAGCGGGTCAAAATTTCGTGTCGCTTCGACTCTTGACATTTACAAAGGAACTTGGTGGCAACAGTGGTTGTTTAGTCGTTGGCGCGGTGCCACAACTGGGATATGTGGCCATGTGGCGCTGCTATGAGCGTAAGACACAGATGCCGTCTGGTCAGGTTGAAGCAAACTGCAACGTTGGGTCGTCTGAGTCACCCGAAAGAATGGGGACACGTACGTTGCAGTAGGTGAACAATGAAGAAGAACATTTCGTTCGTGGAAGAGTCGCAAGTCATCTGGCCGTTTTGAGCTTGCCGAATCTCTCTCTCTCTCGAAGCGACTTCTTTCCAGACCTTCAGGACCACACACTACTCCCGACCAGATGCACGCTCCTATCTTTACACTCGGTGCAAGCTGCTGAGTTCTTCACGCGGAACGAAAATTTAGTGGATATGATTTACAGTCGTCGTCGTTGTCCGGCTTGTCATCCCCGCCGTCGTGTCTTTGTCTGGCTGGACAGACACGTAGGAACATGTAATGATCTGTAGCCTCAGCTCTTGGTAACAAGTGACCAACAAAGGAACAAGCTGGACACGATCTCACATTCATGTCGTGCTTCAACTGCAGCTCTTCAAATACTTCGGGATTTTCTAGTTGGTACGCCACTCCGCCTCTCATGCCTGCGATTAAGATCACGCAGCCAGGACTTGCTGACAGACAGGGACTTGACGTCGTTATAGCTACTGCAGTTAGTGGACGAACACGGGCATGACCTCGTCATTGCTAGTGCAGCTTGAAACATCTCACGCTCAGGTTCGCTGCTCGACCAGTTGGGTTCATTGCAGTGCTTAGCACACTTTGCTCTGCCGATTATGGGTGCAGCTTTTGTGAACTCGACAGCTATACTGACGGTGACGTGGCTTCACGAGCCGCGTCTCTGTTTGATGGCGGCGCTTGACGACGATCGCGTTCGCACGGAATATCCGGTGCCGTCACGGTCGACAGCCTGCGCTTTCTGGTTTCCTGTCCGCATCTTGTCGGCCACAATGTCCGCCCACGAAGATCGCAGTCCTACCGCTCTTTTTACCGCTTATCATCGATGCGTCGTGACGTGGTGCTCAAGCAAGTATAGCGCGATGCCAGACAAGGAGATTGAGCAACGGCGGCCCCAAATAGGTCGTTATGGAAGCCACAAGTCAATTTCTCTCTTCTACAAAGCACGCTGCGTAATGTGCGGCCATCACCAGTGCAGCCAGATTCCTCACGTACAAAAAGACGAACTCACGCTCGCGACTTGATTTTGCACATCGCCGAACTATTTACGCTTGCTACTTCATGCTGCTGATCTTCTTGTCGCTTTTTGCGCGACGGCTCTTTCTGGACCAAGTCGATCAGACGTTCAGCTGCACAAATTCCCGTCACTGCTGCATCACGACACCCTGTCTTAAGAACGACAACGCAGTAGTAGTGGTCAAGCCTTGAGTGGCCCCAATGCAACGTATAATGGACTTGTCTTCCCAAGTGAAGAGCGACCCGAGACAATAGCACTTCAACGATAGCAGTCTCGCCATAAGTTCCGCATATGTTGTTGTCAGATCGGAATCACGTGTTCAACGTTCCAAGGTTCGTTCTCCGAATGCTTGAAGATCTGAGTAGTACCAATCCTGCTCAAAGATGTTGGCCACTGTCGTAACAACAAGCACATCAACCTGATGCTTCAACTTCCATACGACGATTCTTGACCCAAGTTTGTCGTATTAGTGATAGCAAGGTCACCAGTCTCTTACTACGCCAATTGTGACCTGTAAACTTGATGGCTAATAGCACCACTACTGCACTGCGAGCAATCTCTTTCATGCTGATTGACGTACGGAGAAGCGCTCCACCGCATAGAAACAACGGGAAACCCCTTCCTTTTCGTGAGATTCACACCAGCATAAGTTGAACGTGGTGGTCGACATGCGTGTGACACAAGTCGAACAGGTCAGGTGCTGGACGAAACCATTAGGAATCGAACAAAGTCGTGATGGGCACCCGTGATCGCATGCTAACGGACGCACCGAAGCTCAAGGAATCGCAACGAAGTATGTCGCGTTGCAAGGACTTGCAGGGTGGCTGACTATATGAAGAAGAGCTCTGGTAGTAGGGAGTTCCGACACCTCGATGAACAAAACGAATGAATTGGTTCGTGTACGCAGAATTAGTGCAACAAGCTCGAGCACACATTGCAAGCCGATAAGGATGGCTACTAGACGTCTCATCGTGAGACTGTGCATGTGTCGCGAAGTGTCGTACAGGGAACTATAAACTCAAGACTACTCTCAGCAATAACTCCTCATTCAGCTTGAATAAGCCGGAAAGATGCATACAGGCGAGGTTGCGCTCTATTGGAAAACTCACACACAGTGCAAGGTAACGCAGCACAACGTTGCCAGGAGCGGAATGTCTGAAGTCAGTTGATCGAGTGATCTGGTAGTTAGACGAGTAATTGACGCATCTACTGACAATGCTATCTGTCGGAAAACGAGCAAAAACGCTGAAGACTATCCGAAAGCGACGGTTTCTCCCGCGAATTTCTTACAGCTCGGATCACAACCGCGAGAATGTCGGTCTTTTTTATCAATGTAGCTGCTAGCTTTGACGCTGTTACTGTGACAAAGTGGAGACCAAACCGAAAAATCTCCATTGCTGGCTCCGGACGAGACAATGTAGATACAAAATCACCGATCAAAAGTGAGTGTACGGCTTTGCCGATATTATTGTCTGCATAGTCTTCGCTTTAGACGTCTGTACATGCTATCGCAACCGCACTTTTTGCTGTCTGTCTACTTCGTTTGACGCAAAGCTGCATATGAGGTGTGGCTATAGGTGATTACAACAAAGTGCAACTGCAGGTGTTAACCGCTTTTCGAGACCATCATCCCCACCACTCTCGGCAGCAGAAATTGATGTTCCGTTCTGGGTACATCCTGTGGTGTCGTATCGCTATCAAACCACGACAGAGCACGGCAACTCACCACCATGTGAGACACACACAATGACAAACAACCATAAAATACAGATGGACTTCGTGGTCTCCTCAACTCGGTGTATCACATTTTATTCCAAACAGTCAAGCCATCAAGCCGCACAAAGGACCGACAGTCATCACTCTTTCATCCATGCGTAAGGTTCAGCGGCAGAAGGTGAACAACAGCATACAAAACGAGCCACGCAGCCACTTGCCCGCACGTCAAAGCAGCAGCCAGATCAGCCAAAGTGACAAAACGAATGGCAAGAACCAGCCGTCCCATTATCCTGCCACTTGACTTGCTCCCTTCTCTCCAACCACCGACACACGTGCCATCCAATGCTGCTATAGCTCGTTTGCATCCATTTATACCAAAAGCTCAAGACTTCTGACACCTTTCGGCCACCACCAACACCTGCAGCTTATCTGTTGGCCTTGGCCACACGCTCAATCTCGTCCTTCTTCTTGATCGCGTAGCTGTTGGACGAACCCTTGGACGCGTTAATGAGCTCATCCGCCAAGCACTCGGCAATGGTCTTGACGTTACGGAACGACGCTTCACGCGCGCCCGTCGCAATCAAGTACAGCGCCTGGTTCACCCGACGGAAGGGCGACACGTCGACGCCTTGACGACGCACGACACCAGCCGAGCCAACACGGGTCGAGTCTTCGCGAGGTCCCGACTTGATCACAGCTTCCACCACCACTTGCAACGGGTTCCTGTCCGTCAACAAATGGATGATCTCGAGCGTGTGCTTGACAATGCGCGTGGCCTTGAGCTTCTTGCCAGAGTTGCGCCCTTTACGCATCAAGGCGTTCACCAGACGCTCCGTAATGGGGCACAGCGCCTTGCGGAACCGCTTTTTCTGGTACCGCTGGGCCGTGTGTGGCAAGAACGTCGCGGCCTTGCCCTTTACGGCAATGTAGTCTTCCAGCGAGATGTCCGCAGCGACGCTGATGTCATCGTACGACCTGGAGGAAGGTTATCAAAGAAGATCAAAAAGATAGAGGGTGATGGCATTAGTTTTAGTAAACGGGTGGTTCTTAAGCAGGTGATATTACAGGTTCCCTGATCGGATGGATGATGGGATGACTTGGTGTTTTTTTTCTATCTAATAGAGAGGGAGAGGAGGAGAAGGTGATGAATGAATGGATAGCTGGATGCTACTGATCCCGTCTCTGTCTACGTTATGGCACGTTTTTTCTCTGGTTGTACCTACCACTTGTTAAAGAGCTTGACTTCCGTTGCAGCTTCCGCCATGTTGAGAGGGTTTCCGAGGATGACCGACGAGGGCGAGGTGAAGTGATGGCGGTGAACGACTGGGTAGGAAGCTGGTGGCATAGGAGAGTCGAGTCGAGCATACAGGGGAGAAGAGAAACGGACCCTATCCCGCAGCGGTTTGCGGTTCAGGAGACCGCGTCGATGCGGTCTGACAAATTACTGGTTTCGATGTCGCGGTCTGAAAAACACCGGTTTCTACGTCGACTTTGGTGCTCGAGTGCTCTCCAATTGTTCGCAGCGCGTCAAGCGAGAATTTGCCAGATGAAACATCGAATTTACCCTTTTTGTGATTTTTCGCGATCCGAGTCGACTCAATCATCGAAAGTGAAAAAGCAGACCGGACAGACGCTCTGTCGTGTGAAAGTTTACCTTTCCATCGATTTTCAATCGAAACAACTCTGGCCTCTCCCCCCACGTCGTCCGTGTCATTTGCCAACTGTTTTGCCCACTTTGCCCCACCTCCAGTCACTCTCTAAACTTATTTCCCCCACAACCCCACTCCCCCCTTCCTCCCTTCCACCACGGTCACCCCCCTCTCAAACCCCTCCAAGACCACATATCTGCGACATGCACGCGTCACCCCCTCCCTCGTCTGAACTTCGCCACGCCCATCGAAAGTCACTTTTGCATCCTCGCTATACGCCACAACCGCCCACTGCGTCTCACGTTTTCCTTCACCCTCATCCGTCGCCGTCAACAATGGGGGGCGGACCCATCACAGCCGACGTCGTGCGGTCGTCCTGCTTTGTCACGTTCCCTGAGCACACACGCGCAGAGCCTGTACCAGTGGACGCCTGGTACCTCTTCGCAGCGGGTCTGACGTTCCTCCGTCGCTTAGCACGTGATCGAGTTGGCGACGATCTGCACGTGGCGCTTCTGCTGCGATTGGCCACTGACGAAGCGACCGAGCGACGATACGCGTCCGTGACCTCGAATCGAGTGCTCCAACGCGCGTTGCAAGAGACTTTTGAGTGTCCAGAGAAGGCGCTCGTGCTGCACGTGATTGACGTGGGAAAAGTGCGGGGCCAGAAGCGCATTCACGTGCGTCCAGAGGCGAATGCCAATGTCTCGCCCGAGCCAGTGGAGCCATTGGCACTTGTGTTTCCAATGCTGGCAGTGGAGAGAGGAGGGGCGACGTCTGTCGCTGTAGAAGTCCCGACTGCACACGTGGTGCAGGGGAGCTGGGGTGACCAATTGAGTCGATCGAGCGGCACAAGTTATTGGAAAAACGACAGTTTTCGGTGGCAAAATGAGGCTAAAGAGGAGCGTTTGGACGGGCCACGGAAGAGTGGGGAATGGGTTATTGAGGAGAGGGATTATACGAAGAGAAGAGAGGGAAGAGAGCAGCGGGTGAATGAGCATGGGAGGAGTACGGGATCAATTGAGCAGGTGCAGAAAGACGTGACTAAGTGTGCAGAAGACAAGAGCGTGGCAGAGGACAGTGACGTTCCGGTGGCGACCGTTGTGAAAAGTGCAACAACGGCACAGGTGATTCCGAGTGATTATGTGATGCTGGAGCTCCAGACGGGAGCTGGATTGCCGGAAACTGGTGAGATGGCGAGTTCAACGTACTTTATCTCGTCTCGATGGGCAGAGCAAGCGGATGAAATGAGTGCGTCGATGGTTCTGGAACGACCTCCACTGATGCCACGTACTACTCGTGTTGGTGGTGGTAGTAGACCCAGTGCTGACAGGGGACGCATTCATGCGAGTCTTGAGGATTCGTTCGTGGTGCTGGAACGGCAGGATGAGGTATAGGAGAAGAAGAGGAAGAGGAAGAAGTGAAGGGGCGACTCGGTTTGTTTACACACGCAACACGCAAGGGTACGTGGATGTGGGTGGGTGAAGCGGTGCAGTAGAAATAGCAGAGCGTCCAGTAGAAACGTCTCGACACGTTCGCGGTGTTCCTCCAGGTCGTTTCTATCGCCTCGCACTTGCCAAACAGAATAAACATATTTATACTGTGTAACTCGATAGATTGTTCCTTGTTATCCTCCAGCAGCTGTCGTGACGTACCCCTTATCCTGTACCCCTCCTCCATCCACGCATCGCCACACCCACTCCCCGCCACTCAAAACATTAAAACAAAGAGTCCACCATGGCCGCCGTCACTGGCAGTGTCACCACCGTCCAGAGCATCGCGCAGTTCGACGACGCCGTCGCACGTGACTCCACGCTCTCGGTCACGTATTTCTACGCCGAATTCCACGACGCCTGTCGTCCAAACGGCCAGCTCGATGTGGTCCTGCGCCAGCTCGCGACGTTGTACCCACGCGTCCGTTTCCTCAAAGTCGCTGCTGAAGAGCTCCCGGCCCTTTCGGACCGCTTTCTGGTCGCGGTTGTACCCACTTTTGTCATTGCGCAGGGCCCCGTGGTACTCGAGAAACTCGAGGGTACAAACGTCGCCGTGCTCGCTAAACGTGTGGACGTGCTGAACTCACGTGTGGTCCACACCACACCCACTTCAACTTCAGCAGCCAATGAGACGCCGTCAAAACCACTGGATGAGGCGCGACAGGATCGACTGACGAAACTCCTGGATGCCGCGCCGGTGATGCTGTTTCTAAAGGGCACGCCCAGCGAGCCCAAGTGTGACGCTAGTCGAGATGTTGTCGCCCTACTGAATGAAGCGGAGATTGCGTTCAGTACGTTTGACGTGCTCCAGGACCAAGACGTGCAAGAAGGACTAGCGCTCGTGAGCAAGTCGTCGACGTTCCCGCAGCTTTATGTGAACAGCTCGTTCGTTGGGGGGCTCGAGGAGCTCAAGGAGATCAAGGCCAAAGGATCGATTGCCGACCACATTGGCGTGACGAAGAAACTGGAGCCAACCGATGCAGCGTTCCAAGCGAGTCTGCGTGCTTTGGTGAACTCGGCCCCGGTGTTGCTGTTTATGAAGGGCACGCCGTCGGACCCCAAGTGTGGCTTTAGCAAAAAGACGGTCCAGCTCCTGCGTGACCACGAGATCGCGTTTAGTTATTTTGATATCTTGAGTGACGCACAAGTGCGGCAGGGGCTCAAGCAGTTTGCCAACTGGCCGACGTATCCGCAGCTCTATGTCAAGGGCAAACTGGTTGGCGGGTTGGACATTTTGAACGAGATGGCAGAGGACGGCGATCTGAGTGAGCAGCTGGGCGTGGAGAAGAAGGCCAAGAAGGAGAATAAGTACGAGCAGCTGATCAACCGGGCGCGTGTCATGATCTTTATCAAGGGAACACCCCAGCAACCGCAGTGCGGGTTTAGCCGCAAGCTTGTGGACATTCTGGACAGCGAAGGGTTCAAGTACGACTCGTTTGACATCCTCATGGACGACAGTGTGCGTCAGGGACTAAAGAAGTACTCGAACTGGCCGACGTTCCCGCAGCTATACGTGAAGGGCGAGCTCGTTGGCGGACTTGATATTGTGCAGCAGATGCAGGAAGACGGTGAACTTGCGGAGCTCAAAGAGTAGGGTATGCGTCGGTCCGGTTGAAGTACGTCGAGTCGGCGTTACTGGAACAAATGAACAAGATGCATGGCCTTCGTCTATCTCCAGTCTTGTTTGATCTGTAGTGGCACAAAGCTTAACGAGTGCATCGTTCGTTGTCGCTAGGAGATAATCTGAGTGACAACACCAGCAGCAAGCGTCTTCCCACGGTCTCGTAGCGTAAAGCGCCCAAGCTGGCGATAGTCTGCGAATGTCTCGAGGCAAATTGAGCGATGGCATGTGATCTGCACCACGGCCGAGCACTCGCGGGTGATGCAACGCGGCTTCTTTCTCCCTACCCCGCCAGTCTTGCTCAAGATGCTCACTAGTCGAGAGATATTTACAGGCTCGTCGACGTTGTGAATGTGGATCGTCACGCATGTCCCTTTCACCAGCGGAACCTCCATCGTCGGCATGGTCATGATCTTGGCCTCAAATCTCTTGGCGAGCCGCACCGGCGATGCTATGGAGCACAGGATACTGCCAGTACTGTGCATGTATGTTCCAGAGTGTACGAGAACATTCAGTCAGAAGCGAATATAGTGACGAGCCCAAAGCACATCATGTCCATATCATACGTCAATGCCGACTGGTCGATTCCGGTGACCCCCATCTCAATCGTGTCTCCGGCGCGAGCAAGTGTACAAGACTTGCCGTCTTGTTCAATTCCTGCACCAGATCATCCAAAACACCAACAAGTGATGAGTGTATGCTACGGATACGAAAGCCAGCCGATGTTCGCTAGTGACCTTTTACTGTGAGATGACGTCCGATTGGCATCAGCAAGAACTGTTACAACAGTAGGAACGTGTGATGAGTACACCACACGATCATTCGTTGTTGCTATGTGAGCACCTCACTTACCGAGTCGCCCACTGCGGCAGCACCAGCATAGACGCGACCGGAGATACTTTGACCCAGACTCAATGACTTTGACACATCGGAGACGGTCATACGGAACGGCTTGGAGATCTGGCGCTGAGGGGGAGCAAAAGAGTCTGCATAGCGATAAAAGACTTTGCACATAATGCCAGCACGAAGAACCTCACTTCAACACGTACCAATAGCCTCGACTAACGAGGGACCCGAGTACCACGAGCATTCCTTGACACCGCCAGTCTTCTCCAGGTTGATGCCAGTCATGCCACTAAGAGGAACAAAACGCAGATTCTTCGGGCGATAACCTGCGTTTTGTAGGAACGTTGACAGCGACTTCACGATACCGTTGAAGCGTTCCTGATCCCACTTGGTCTGCGAATATACAGCAGCGTACACAACGAGAGTGTAAGTAGAGCGGACACTTCCTCAAGCAGCTGATCTCACCATATCCATCTTGTTGACCGCCACGACCATCTGTGCAACACCCAGACTTCGCACAAGCAACGCGTGCTCCTTGGTTTGGCCCGAGTTCTCAAATGCTGCTTCGAACTCGCCGGTCACCGCTGGAACGACGAGTACAGCAACGTCTGCCTGCGCAGCTCCTGCAATCATTTTCGGGATAAAATCGCGATGACCTGGCGCATCCAGCAACGTCACGTGCTTCGTTGCCGTCTCAAAGTAACTCGTGCCCACATCCATCGTGACACCGCGAGAACGCTCCTGCTCGTCGGCATCCATGACCCACGCGAAAGCAAACGACGATTTGCCAGCATCGCGCGACTCTTTTTCGTATTTGTGCATCAGTCTTTTGCTCACGTAGCCCAGCTTGTACAGCAGATGGCCAGTAATCGTACTCTTGCCAGCATCCACGTGCCCAATCACCACCATACTTATCTTTGTCTTGCCTCCACTGCGTGCCTCTTCCTCGAGCTCGGCCGCTCGTTCCTGTGTCTTCAATTCAGCACGTTCAAAAACTTTCTTCTCCGCCGGCGTGATTTGTGTCCGTGTCGACGACATCGTCGGTGCAGCCTTCACTGCACCTAATGCCGATACCTGCAGCACCTTATCTTCTTTCACACCAATTTGTGACGACATTGTGTCATGACCGACGGTCAGCGCTCGACCTTTGGCAGGAGCAGGCAGAACGATCTCCTCCTTCTCAATATTCTGCTCTTCTTTGCTACTACCACCGAGTGCTACAGCTCCAAGCCTCGATGTCTCCGTCTGTAACGACAGCTCACCCCCGGTTGCATCCAGTCCTTTGCTCTTCTCCAGCAGCACTCCGACAGCTTGATCCAGGTCATAATTGGCCCAACGGAGCTCCTGAGTGATCTGCTGAACGGATACATTTGCACCGACAGCTTGCTGGACTTGAGGTATCGTAACTTGGAGCAGCTCGGCATCTCCACAGTCTTCCAAATTGGTACTGCTTCGGGTGGGCTCAATGCCCGTTGTTCCTTGCTGCTGCACGAAGGAAAAGACGGACGCCTGGCGACTGGGCGAGTCTCGACGATACATGAATTCACCTACGTCCCGTCATGATCAGGGTACAGGTTGACGTGTGGCAAATGTATTTCGGTAAGTATACAGCGCAAATGCCGGTGTTGAAACCAAATTACAAAAACCGGTGCTGAAACCAAATTCCAACAAACGGTATTTGTAGGTTGTGGATACTTACCCGAGGCAGCTGAAGTACCCTCGTTGTCATAGTCATAGTCGTCATAATCTAAGGTGTATAGATACAATCAGAGCGAATACATGATCATTAAGAGTTGTGGAGTTAGTAATAGAGTACGATGCATGTGAGTGTCGTGCCTTCGTCCTCGTACGAGTACGCGCGGTTCCGCACGTTACGGTGGCGAGACATGGCGGCGTTAGGGGGTTGCGTAAACTTGTTCAGGTTGGAAAGATATCGGTATTTGTACTGGTACTTGGTGGATCAGACTGATACCTGATCTCGATTGTGGTATGACGAGTAAGAGGATTCGATGATGGATACCGTGTTTTGTTAATTTTGCGATGAATTAGTACCAGCTGTTGTTTACGGTGTGGGACTGTTGCGGACAAATTTGTGAAGTGTACGACCACCAAAGAACTCGTTTTTTAACTTGCTTTAAGCGCATTTCTCTGAGCGCACGATGTTTCAAATGAAGGATTGCAACGTGCGAATATGCTTCGACTGCCCCGGGCTTATGGTGTGCACCAGAAGTATTACGAATGGCGATCGATTCTTGTACAGAGAACCCCAGCTTTACAATAATGTACGGTCCAAGTCGATCTTGGCTGGATGATCCAACATTCAGATCTAGGATCATTTTGATCCCCAAAGAACCTGCGGAATTCACAAAGTACTCAGCACGACCTGCTTGCTGGAGCGATCTCAGCAATTGTTTGATACAGACCACTGATTGTAATTCTCAAGTAAGGTTCGCAGGTAACTTGATACCTGTGGAAATCTGCTCTTTCGATCATAGTAGCTGGATGGACTATAACCAGGCGAGTCGTTTGGTGGCTGTTTTGCGTATTAATGGAATTGCCGCTTCTTCTTGATGTTGCTCTCCTTTCGAAACGGTAGTGTCTTTGAGACTCGTCATTTGTGAATCCAGTATCATTGCTTTCGGTCACGGCTAATCACGGCGGCGAGACGATGGATCGTATTCAGACACCATCTTGTGACAGCGTTGGGGAAGAGTTCGACTGCTTCGACTTTCCTGCAATTGAAACTTGCTATAACGTTATCCTACCTTTTCACGCGGTATTGTTTTGTCTTGCCTATCATTGCAGTGTTTTATTGTCTTGCCCATCATTGCAGTGTTTAACAAAACAGGTTTACCGAACAGTTGTGTCAATATTGAGAAGGAAGGCTCAGTCAGGAAGCCATTCGCGGCCGAAGAATGGCACTTCGAATGGACAGTTTGCCGTGAACAGCACAAGTACATTTCCTTTCGTGAGGTGCTGCTGAGTTTGCCTCATTTGGAAGCTGCTGTAGGTCCTTGGTACTCAACTTGCTGCTTTCATCCTTGAACGCTCAGCTCAACACATGGTCTTCCAGCAATGCTTTAATTGTCGCTCATTCTTTGTCTCGTCAGCATACCAGCACGTGCTGAAGCACGACTTTTATACGCACAAGAGGTGCAAAAGTCGTCTTGCTTTGGCTGGGCTGTGATGCTGTATCTGTACAAAGTGGCTGCAAGTACAACAGACCTTTGTTCGACGCAGCGGGGTACCATCATGCTGTTTGGCACCTATCTTTTCGATGGCTTGCACACAAGATCGTCCACTTGGATTCACCGCTCTACTCTTGAGATCGTTTGCTCCAAAGAATAGGCCTATTGATCCCGCGGTCATCAATATACAGGTTGTTAACATAGCTGCTTTGTTATTACAGTAGTTGCTGATGTACCCTATAAGTTGGATTGCGAGAGGATGCACGCCACCTCGCAACGTAACTCTAGCTTGCACACATTTTAAGAAAGGGGCACATCGAAGAAGGCTGTACTGAAGAATGTGCACGCTTACAGGCTGCAGCACAACTTTCGCACTCAACTTTGCAAAAATGACACAACTCTGAGTTGTGGTGAAAGCGTTCGTAGATTTATTTGCGATGGCTCGCATTGCAGAGTAGTTTCCTTACAGCCATAACCTCTGCGACGACATTGCAGGAATCTTTGAGCTTTCGCCATGTGTGGATCGGCGACCCCGACCATTGAAACGTACAACGTGGAAGCAGGGGCTGCCACCAGTAGTTGAGTTTATACAAAAAAGACTTCGCTTAAAATGCTTGAGTCATGCCGGAGCGGCGCGGGAATCTGGGAATCTGCCTCGAACGTCATCGCTGATGAGAACACATTCATGTGTACAGAACTCATTCCTTCCCCCCTTCACTCGACATGACTCGAGTAATGGACACCAAACCTCAAACGATGCTATGACTTACGAGTTAGGGAAAAACTTACGGACAAGCGGGTGCATGGTCGATATTCTTTTGCTGGGATTCGACAGACAATTGCTGCCTGTCTTGTCCGTGCTGTTTTGAACAGTTCTTACATCTTGTCCTCCCGCCGCAAATCGTGGCGGGGAATGTAAAGCCGATAAAAATGTCCGTTGTAAGACGAAAAAGTGACGAAGGTGCGACCAGGCAAAAGTGGTCGCTCCTTCACAACGATAAGCATACACAAAGGAGCTGTTGCCAACGTTTGACGTAAGTTACGTTGGAATGTGCCGTCGAAGCTGTACGTGGTGCTCTCATAATTTTTTGGTCTGTCCAGCTTATAGGAATCACATCAAGCCTGTTTTCGTGTCCATGGCAGCGAATAGCTTGCGAGTCTGGATTATTTGTGTTTGTGTTGATACCAAGTTTTCACTACAAGTGGCCGTCGCGTCCTTCCAGGTCCCAACTCAAGAGTAGCTATCGAATCATTCGAGTGATTCATGCATCAGGATTCACTCTGCCTCGAAACGTTCACACTGTCAACACTGATCAATCGCCTACCGACGTTTGAACCACCGCTACTGCTGAGGATCAATGAGACCATCGTAACGCCCCTACGCCTTCGTTATCATGAACTTGCTGTATATTGAGGACCGGTATCAACCAGCTGTAACCTGACGAGTTACACCTAGTAGTGGGTTGACAGCGCTGCTCAAGTAGTACCAACTCAGAGTGTAGACCTGCTAGCCTTAGACACCGCTTGCTGGAGTCCTACGAAGGATTGATGAGGCTGTTTTATCGATGGCCCGTGGCAATACGAGCAACGTCGTATGTACCTGGGATCAAGTCCGGTAAACGTATGAGCAACGTCGTATCTCCCTGGGATCAAGTCCGGTAAGCGTATCTCTTTGGGATCAAGTCCGGTAAACGTCGTATCTTCTTAGGATCAAGTCCGGTAAACGTCGGATTGAAAGTGACCAGCTACACCTGTACTGAAGGTCTAAGGAACCACGTCGTAGGATCCCCATTATCGGCGACCGAAAGAGAAATCCAAAGAGCACTCCCTACACATGGCTTCGTCTGTCCAGCGGGTAATGATACTCTCGAGGATGGTGGTATTCCACCAGCCCAATGTAGATGCCTCCGCCTATTGCACCGCCTAGAATGGGGCCAACCATCGGTACCCAAAAGTAGTAGTCACGCAGCGTGAACACGTCCGAGCCCCAGCCGGCACATAATGAGAAAAAACGCGGACCAAAGTCGCGAGCCGGATTGATGGCGTAACCCGTGTTCAAGCCGAAGGCCATACCGATCCCTGTTACTAGCAGAGCCACAGCGCTCGGTTTCGTGTACGGGCTAGCGGGTTCGTTCAACTCGTCACCTAGAGCAAAGATACCCCCCAACAGAAGCGCTGTGCCAACAATCTCGGTCAAGAAGCAGGTGCCTATCGAGACGTCGTCACTGTACGGGTACGTCGCAAAGATGCTACGGGTCGATTCCCTGTCCGACCTGACTGGGTCGAGTAAGGGGTAGTAAACGGCCCAGATAAAGAAGGCGGCAACGAAAGCGCCTAGCACTTGGGCGATGATGTACGGGATCACTTTGCGCCGTTCAATGCGTCCGTAAAGGAACATTGTCGTAGTCACTGCAGGGTTCAAATGGCCACCCGAGACTCCTCCTGCTGCGTGGATGCCAAAGAGCACCCCGAGACCCCAACACAAGTTGATGCTAAGGTAGTCTCCGTGGTTGCCACCACCAAGCTTTACTTGAGCAACGACACCGTCTCCGAACAGAATGAGCACCATCGTGCCGATAAATTCCGCCAGACACTCCCGAAGCAGCGGAGACTTGACTTGATACGGCTTGGAAACATCTGTAGCTGTCTTGATATCCGGCTCGTGCGAGCCAAAGTATCGGTCTTCGGGCTTGTTGCTGAGGTTCATATTGGCGAAACTTTGAAATGAAATTGCGGACCAGGAAGCACTCACAGGGTACGGGCAGGTTGCTAAGTGAGATCAATAAAAGCGGTGATGACGTGGCCTTTTGAGATAGAGCTGGCAACGTTATTGTTGAGTTGAAGGCAAACACCGAAGTGACATATTTTGATTGAGGCCCAAAGTTCCCATGCTAACCAGGCTACATCTCAGCATGAGATCTACGATATGTTTCCATCGGTAAAGAACTATTGTCGTAGCTACGTTTTCATCACGATCTGGTAATCTTCTGGTAATCAGTTTACCAACTTACAGCTGCACCGCATATACGCTTACCTTATGTTCCCAGGAAGCGAGTCACACCCGATTACCACTATCTGATAAGAATACATCCACAAAGACAAACATACGGTGTAACTTGTCAACAGTTGTGATAGCCCACACTCCATGGGGTGGCCTCCCTGATGGAACCTAACAGACCTCATTTATACCAGCAGACATCGATACGCCACCTCTCCCATTCATCGGAAAATTGACTCGTCTCGACTCGACCAAGTTGAAGCCACCAACGACTGTAGTACTACTAGCCGCCGCGAACGCATTGTGTGCCAAAGCGAGCTTCCACTATGCCAATGAAGGCGAATGACTGATCGTTATTGTGAGATATAAAGATGACGAAGGCAGCTCAGCCACATTTTAGGGACGGGACAGTCTGACTGCCTTGCATGTGTATTGCGACAAAAGATGTAGAAGGGTACTCGAGTTTGCTGTCTCTACGGTGCCGGAATGGGCGATTACAACGAAAACGCCAATGTGGAGTAGAGCGTCTAATGCAACTGTGGAACTCGAGACGCGGCATGAGGCCGTCAATAACGTCGCGTGATTTTGGTGCACCGATGGACTCTAGACATCGATCAGTGCTCGTTTTAATGTAACACGGAGGCATGAAACGGGAATTGATGCTGACTTTCACTGGATCAATGTAACATCAGCACAGCATCACCCTGCAAATCCATAAAAAGTGCCTCCCATTGTATTTTTCTGGCACAGCGTTGCAGTACTGACACCTCCGACGTGCAGTCGCTTGCAGTCATAAACTGTTACATCGTGGTAGTCCTAGCGTGTGCGCTTCCTTGGACCTTGAACAATGACCCGATCACAATATCTGGTTGGAGCAGCTAGTCCGCGAGGTGTTGCACTTGCACGAGCAGGTATTTGTCCTCAGTACGTTGCCGTCGAGCAGTATGGGCGAGTTCGAAACGTGCAAGCCCGATCGCGCCGAATATGTTTCACAAAGTCCACCGGGTCCGCCACTGTTTGACACTTGGTTAGGAGACGCTCTGTGGGAGGGTCCGGTCGTTGTGCACAATGCACCTCATTCCAAGCACAATCGAAGAATGGGAGAAGAACTTCCGTTGCAGTATTGAATCAAACGCTACAACGCGCTATCGTTATCCCACAGCTGAGCTGCTATGAATGCTTCGATTATCGATGAGCTGTTTTGATCGTGATCATTCCTGGGATGCCTGAGATGACGAAGGAATCGTCGAGTTTGTCCAAGGCAACGCACGCATGAACGTCTTGCCAAGTCATTTTGCCACCAATTCATCTGAACTTCTGCTCTGGAGTCCTGAATCAGTGCCGTCACTTTAAATCAGGCGAAATGTCGATACTTGACCGACACAGCATCTCCCGACATCTTGTTGGGACGGAGTGCAACAACTTGACCCAGATGTCCCCTATGATCGTAGTATAATGAACACGACACAACAGCATGCCATTTCTGGTGCACACTCATGCTAACAAAGAACAGTGTCCAGCCACTCGTGAAACCTACACAGAGTTTTTTCGAAACTGCATGTTCCACGACTAGCAAAGCTAAAGCTGCATGTGCTGATTCGCATCTCGTGCTCACACACAAAAATACATGACTATCGAAGATTCCATCATGACTATACGGAATCAACCCCCGGAGCATCATCACCCCCCCCTCCACCTCGATTATTCCGTGATAGAAGCAAACATATCTGATTGGCTACTCCTCACCACATCACGCGTGACTTCCACGACCTCGGACTTGGCGCGATGGATTTCCTGCGGCAAGTGGCGGTGGATCTGCACGCGCTGCGGACCGAGGCCAAGCGCAAGTACCCAGTCGTGAAGGAGGCAGTGGACCGTGCGCTTGAGGTGCTGCCTCTCTTGCAGCAGCAGTACGCGGCGCTCGTGCGTACCGAGAAGCTCGCGCCAGGTCCCGGCCACAGTTTTTTCCAGAGCGAGAGCGTCTTGCGGCCGTTTCTATTGACGTGTAACCACACGAACGCGTCCCACAAGATTCTCGTGCTCGCACTGTCGAGTATCCAGCGCCTCGTGAGCTGGGACGCCATTGAACCGGCCAGTGTGGGCAGCATCCTCCGGGTTTTGCAGATCCAGGCCGAGAAAACCGCGTACACAGACGTGCAGGTTAAGTTACTGCAGACGGTCTTGCAGCTTATGACGCTCGCGTACGAGGCGACGAACCGGAAAAAGGGTGCAGCTGTAGCGCGGACTGGTCAACGACAACTAGGTACAGAAAGTGTTTTTTTTAATGAGGAGCTGACGCTTGGAGAGAGAGGTTTGATGATGTTGTTTGCATGGTCTCTTATACACAGAGAACGAGCTTGTGGGAAATGAAGATATGGTGATGCAAGCTGTGTGGATATGTGTACATCTTCACGAAAGCAGTGGCAGTGCTAGTTCAGTGGTGGGGAACACAGCAGCGATGACGATCCGGCAGCTGGTGTCGCTTGCATTTAGCCAAGTTGACTCAAGTCCAGCAGCTAAACGTGTCGGCGTGCTGCTATTCCAGGATCTGTGCTTTATCAGTCGAGAAGAGAGCGGTGTGTGGCTAAAACGCACGGCTGTGTCGTCGATGAGTGCGGCGTTAGCGGTCGAGTTACTTGAGACGATCGTGGCATCCCACAAAGGACTCTTTCGCCTTGATGTCGAGTTTACGACTGTTTTGAAGCAGCAGATGGTTCCATTGATGCAGTCAGTGCTGGAAATGAGCTGCAATGATAAGCATGGCGGGTCTGCAGGCTCAGGCATTACAGGACCGACGAACACGTCAATCACCAGCAGCAGCACAAATGGCGCAGCGGGTCCATTCTTCCCGCTGCTCGCTCGTGGTATGCGTCTTGCGAGCACACTTTTGTGCCATTTTGCCGACTGCCTTGTTGGCGAGTGCGCTTCGATTTTGCACGCGCTATTAGAAATTATTGCCACAGGGTCGTACACTATGGACGTCTCCAAAGGACCACAATCATTATCGAATTCGTCACCGAGTTTGTCGAAGTCACCTCGAGCTTTATCAAAGTCACCGCCTGACTCCAAATACAATGCGGCAAACGCGATCGCGAATTTCAAGGAGGCCAAGAGCTTTTTGGCCCACTCGAATTTGTCAATCGCTGGTGCGTCCAACGCATCTGGCAGTACAGGAGGGAGTATCAATTTTGTGACTTGGCCCGTTCTGCTATCGCTGGAAGTTTTGAACCGCGTGTGTCAGGAGCCTGACGTGGTTGCCGCAATGGTAAGCTACCCTGATGGTGTGCTGGTTGCTATCACCCGCACGACATCATCGGTAATCATGACATCACCACCATCCGATTTTAAACCTCAAGGTCCGGATGCAACTGCACTTCGCTCTGGTCTTGAGTTGCTGAACGAGCAAGAAACACCCGTGCTCCAGCAGTTTTACATGGCTGTCCGGGTTGCCGCTTCGTGCCAGTGCAACATGGCGGCCTCCGTTTTCGAGCTGTCGAGATCTACCGCCAACGAGAAAGTGTGTGAGAAGCTGGCTAAAGCGTGCGTTGCCGTAGTGGCCCCTGCAGTAGTTAAGTCTATGAACTGCGTGATGCGACACTGTCGTGAGGTGGACCTCGTCACCATGTCTCTCAAAGCATACCATGTACTAGCTACGATCGCGTCGAGGCTTCGAGCAAACATGCAGGGCCAAACCGCAAGGAACACGTGGCGTAAGCCGATGGATGAGGTGGTGCTGACTTGCTTACGAGTATTATGTGGATTCTCCTTCCCCTTACCGGATGGGATTCGAGGAAACACAAAAGCATCGATACCAACGACTGGATCGGGCAGCAGTGGATCAAGTGATACCGTAGGCGAAAGTGGGGCGGATGATGGCGAAAGTTGCCTTGTGACGATCAGCTGGCGCGAGGTGCATGCGATGAAGGCGCTTTTTGGCGCTGCACATGTTATGGAGGAAGAGCTTTCAGAGACGGAGTGGTGCGCGTTACTTGAGGGCTTTGAAATCATTGTGGACCTTACAGATGCAAAGCGAAGGAAAGGACAGCAAAAGTTACCGACTAAAACTTATCGAATTAGGGCTTTTCGAATCGAAGATGAAGACGTTGAACAGCAGTTGGTGATGCTGAGCAATTCGGTCGTGGATTTGGTTCGTGGCGCGCATAAGATGAGTAGTGCCGCTCAGCAAAAGCTGCTGAGTGCAGTAAGAAGGGTTTCGTGGAACCAAGTTGGTCTCCCAATGCTGAGCAGAGGTTCGGAGTTTCTGTCGGATTCGACTCGCACGGAATCACCTACCGACGGCTGGAAGATAGCGGATGAGGGTGACTCATCCAGCTCCATAAGCTTCCACTGTATGAAAATCTATCATAGCTACTTGGGTGTAGGCCTCACTGGTACTGGCAGCTTTACGCCATGCTTCGCTTTGCGCATGCTGACTCAATTGGCGTCGAGCAGCAAGCGGTGTTTCGATGAAGTTATGCATGAACTAGTCCTCATGAGCACGTACGAGCTCCAAGCCCCGCTAACGGCTGTCCAATTTCCCCAACTAGTTCAATTTCAGGTGTTTGCTACTGATAGTGTCCTGCAGCTCATGCAAAACGCCCTGCAGCACGATGTCAGCAGTGCACCACCTGCTGCGAAGTCAACAATGGAAAGTCGTGGCATCGAAAGAGAGGGAAAAAATCCTACATACTCGCATGCGCTTGATCAGCAGGAGTTGTTCTTGCCGCTGCTGAAGCTGGTACGCTCGGATATGAAAGACAGCACATTGACCGGTATGCTGGAAATGCTGAATGCTTGCGGTCACCTCATCAGCGCTGGCTGGCCACCAGTATTTGCTTCGATACAGGAAGCTTGTACGATCGGGGATGGAAAAACACAGGTGCTCGCTTTCAAGTGCTTGCGCCTTATCGTGGATGATTTGGTGGTGTCGATCCCTAGTAGTTATCTTTCGGATTGTATCAAATGCATTGGGCGTTTTGGCAGTCGTGCAAAGGATGTTAACATTAGTCTTACAGCTGTCAACGAACTCTGGAGCGTGGCCGATGTGATTGGGAAGCAGAAGACGCAAGATGAAAGCGACTCGAGTAGCCAGCGACGGTGCGGCCAGTGGAGATACATTTTTGCGGAGTTTAGCTCCGTAGCGTTGAACGACCGAGTTGAGGTGCGGAACAGCGCGATCAACACTCTTTTTGGAACTGCCGTGACGTATGGTGCTCAGTTTGAGCTAAGTGAATGGCAATCGTTTATGAACTCGACGGTTCTGCCTCTTGCTGTTCGATTGTGCGAGACTCGAGACCAAAAAAGCTCGCTTTCGCTCGAAAAGATCGAGTCGAAGGTGTCTACTAATGTGATGCTGCACCACTCACGCGACAACAGTGAGAAGCAATGGAACGAATCTCGAGTGCTGATGCTGACTGGAATTAGTCGCGTACTGGAGACTAATTTGCACTACTTGCTGCAGCACGCGTCGTGGTTTGCTTCCATTTGGAGGAGTCTGCTTCAGCACGTGGTGCTGAATACCGCCTTTGGCGTACCCAAGGAAGTTGTGCTTGCAGCTATCAAAATGCTTCAAACGCTGTTGCAAGTGTCTTCAGCCGGAGATTTTGATCACATCGCACAATCGCAGCGTGTTCGCGCCGGAGTTGGTATGCGTGTGGTTGGAGGTGCTCTTGTGTCTTCGTCAACACCTACAAGCGCTGCGTTGGCTTCTCCAGTAACACGGCGTGTTACCCCCACACCAGTGTTTTGTGATCCCCGACTTTGGGAGGAAGCATTTGACCAACTATTGCGGCTGTGCGACGAGAGACGACGAGATGCTGAAAAGGACAAGAACTCAATACATCCCTGGAAAGAAGAGGAGGAACAGGAAATTGCGAGTGCAGTGGTCTCAGTGTTAAGGACGCTTTACATACAAGCGAAAGAGCACGAATTCAGGAACGTGCGAAACGTGGAAAAAATGCTGGATCTGTTTGCTGCGTTGACCTCTCGCCATTTACTTGACAGACCAGCAACTGAAAAGGGAGCAGTGACAAAGGCAATTACGAATATTTCGACAAACAGCTTGCAATCTCGCGTACTTGACGCTTTTGAGGAATGTGATTCGTTTGCGTTTCATCCGAAAGTTCACACTAAAGCGTTGGATCAGCTCGTAGACTATGTGACGCTGTCGTCAGCTAAGGGTCTCGTTTTCTTCACCCGACACGCATTGATTTCGTTGGCAAAGCTGTATGCGAGCGTGTCAGCGGAGGCCAAAGAGAAACGTTTTCTGTCTGTCCTCTTCTGCATCCAGCCATTCTTGCGATTTGATACAAGCCACGACACACTGGAATCAAGTCCTTCCGTGCCTCCCGGCAAGCCAATGACAGCAGCGCAGAAAGCAGCAACGCAGTTGTGGAAACACGCGCTGCGCGTGCTTCTGGTCATCATTTCGAGTGGGCTCGTGGCTGTTCGGTTGGCAGAAGCATGTTGGAGGCCGCTCCTTGAGACGATTACGTGTTTTGTCCAGCCAAACGGGGGTAACTTTCCGTTGTGTGTACAGTCAGAAGAGGATGAAGTGCTGGTGCTGAGTGTGTTGGAGTGCGTAGTGGACAGTACTATCTCGCTGCTCGACGACGACAGCGACACGAAGTCTCACCTCGGTTCTCAGTACAACGCGTTTATTAGCGATCTGGTTGCAATTCTGTGCTCGGGTGTGAATGCGGTGGAACACAACAAGTCAATCATTCGGTGCTACGTGCGCCAGCTGAGCACGATGTGCATCCAGACAGCAGACCAGGAACTGGCGCTGTTTGCGTGTGCTCGACTTGTTGTGTGCTGCAATACAGCGTTGGTGCGCTTTGCCGATTTGAGCAGTTCTGCTCTCTCGAAACTCCAGTCTCCAGGTGTGCCGAACCAACTACACGCATCATCATTGTCAGATTCTGAGAGCGACATCCAATATGTCGCAGCCCGCGAGAGGGTGGTGGTTCTTTTGACAAGCGCGCTGGAGGTTGACATGCAGCCGCGGAGTATACTAGAGATGTACCCAGCCCTCTGCGGCTGCATCTCGTCGTCCGATTTGGTGGTGCGCCAGCTTGTACAGCAGCTGCTGTTGAGCAGTCGACTTTCTGAATTCCGCCTCGAGCTCATGGATGTGTGGGAGCGTGAGTCTCAGTAGAATTATTGGAGCGCTGTCAACCTTTCAATCATAAGTTCCGTCCCAGTGTGTTGTATGTGCTATCAGTGTGACATAAAACCAGTGAACTCCATCGCGACACTTTATCCCTGCAACAAGCCAAAACATCTGAAGTGCGATGACTGGTGATGACAAAGGATGAGTAGTGGCATGGTCCGGTGACAGCGTCTCAATGGACGTCACGTCAGAGCGAGCGAGTACCGTAGTGGACGACATCCAAGTCTGCAACTTTCATTCTTTCCTTCGGCTCTACGGGCTGGTGATGGGCTGAACCGACGTGTTCACCTTCGGTTCAGCCTATGTCCGGTCCGTTGACTTGTAACGCGTCTCCGTAGCCAGAACGAGTTATGCGCTCAGATCAACACCGCGCCCAACGTCTTCCAATTTTGTTTCACTTGCTGCTTTCCAAGTGTGGTCACAGGTGCAAGTTAAAGAGAAAAGTCCGAAGATGCCTCCATGATGCATGTCCGACGATCGGACGCTGCAGCCATGGATACAGACATCAAGCTTTTTCGTGGTAGAGGAGTCTACGCGGTCGTGAACTACAAAGTCGCTGAGAGTTCATTGATGAGCGGGGTGTTTTCCGAGGGATGTTGGCTGGCTTACCGCGAACAAAAAGTCGCTTTTGTTGTTGAAAGTACGGGAGGTGGTGATCCATACTCAGAGTTCTCCAAAATCTTGGTGACCCATGCTATGAGTTCTCCAAAATCTCGGTGGATCTTCGTGCGATAGTTTGCAGATGGAACGCTGCCATGTTATTGACAAAGGTTGCGTTCCTTCTTACTTTATCCAGCCTAGTATTCGGTAGGCCTCTCGCGTCATTCAACTTTCCAATACAGTTGTGCCTGTGACGTGGTACATGCTCAACTGTATTGGAAAGCCCGATGTTTAGCTCGGATTAATGCCGATGAGGGGCCTTCTGTATTCTAAATGTCCGGTGGTACGCTAAGATTTGAAGCCTCCTGCTGTTGCCTGATACTATTCGCTAAATCAGGGAGGCGTCATGGTGGACAACGCTCTTCCAAACGCTAACCTTCACTACCAGCCCCTGTTATCGCAAAAATAGGCCTTTCGATCAGCCGGATAAAAAGAATGCCACGATATAGTATACGTACCTTGCACCTTGTTGACAACCGCAGACAAGCGATGCATACGTTTGCCTTATTGTAAAACCTTCCTGGTATCACGATTTATAGCCGTATCAGATGCGGGTCTCAAACGACCATTCTGCGTGATCGGTATACAAGAAGCGGCTTGCAGAAGATGTACTAATCTAGAAGTATTCTGTTGGTGTGTGAGGCACCAAGCTTTGTCTCTTCTTCTTCTTTTTTACACGGAGTATACAGTTCTTTCTTACGTCTAGGCGCCAGAAGGTAAGCAGGTTTTGGTGGATAATCCGTTGATGGAAATTCGTGCTTAGAAGTCCGTATCCTTACCACGATAGCAGCTTCACAAGTGTCACAAGAGACCCAAGTCACACACTATCAATGTCATGGATTCGTTTAACCCGCTCTAGCGTCGACCACGATGCCCTGGATTATCGTTGATGGCGTTGTGGCTGCTAATATTTCTGCTTGATAAACAAGAAGAACCAACAACAGTAGAACGCCTTAACTTAAACCGGATAAATTTAATCGAGAGCAACCACTTTATGTTATCAGGTGGTAGATGGAAATATGGAGATAAAACGAGGGTAGTTATGGCATATTAAGCCTGAGCAAGAGCGAGTCGTGTGCAAGTGTTAATGGGGTGTAAGGGTTTTTGTTCAATATGTCTATGACAGCGGAAAATGTGTTGCAATAAAGGTAAATGTAAGTACGTATCATTTGTGGGTGTCAACGAGACGCAGGTGGATGTACGTAAACTATATTGTTGCGTTCTTTTTGCTCGACTGATCTAAAGACCTAGAACCGTCATAATAGGAACGGGTGGGCGATTGATAACAGTAAACTATAATAAAGGGCATAGCTAAAAATCCACGGATCGTAACGCAGTCCTTCTGGGTACCAACTACACAGTCCGATTAGAAATGATTAATTTGTCTAATTATTTGCTTTGTCCATTTTGGTAACAACGAGGATGGGGAAGTAAAGGGAGAGAGAAAAAGAGGAGTAATGTGACCGTCCATAAAAAGACTACCACTCCACTCTTGTATCCTGCATTGTGCAATTGTATGTCTTAGTGCTGTTGAGTCGTGATTTGTGAGCTCTCTGATCACCCGAGCGAAAACATTGTATCTGCGTAAGTAAATCGTCGTGCGTCAGGATACACTATCGATTATAGATTATAAGCGTAGCAATAGTGCGAGCGCTGGATCGTAAATTTGGTCGTTTGCGAATTGTCGCACGAATGATCAGCTGATACTTCAGTCGCCTGTACTTCTCCAGTCTTTTTGTTCAGTTTTCTCGCACAGCAGCACGATCTCCCACATTTGCGTCATAAAGCACCTTGCGAATAATAACGCGATGAAGGCTTACATCCCATCATTACAGAATACATCCGACAAGCGGATGCTGAAAAAAGCTAAGAGCGTCAGAGCAAGAAACAGCACTATCGAAGATTGCATGGACCTCATCAATGGAGATATTTGAGGCAGTCAGCAAGTGTATTCTAACATCATGTGGAGCAGAGTTGATTTCATCGAGAACATTGACCATATGTAGTGCATTTTTGATGGACACCTACTTTGATTCAGCTTCCTGTACTGCCCTTGAGCGGCGGTGCCCGTCCAAAACCGCGTTAATTTTAATACCAGCATCCGTAGTCGAAACAACATGTAAGCAATGGTCTTCGTTGGACTGTTGGCCCAGACCGGGACCATGCCCAGAGCAGCAGGAGTTAATGTCCCCTCAACGTCCATACCGTTATACCTGGTACACCGATATACAATAGTTCCATATCACATGAGCTGGAACATCTGAATCATACATACCAGCAATTTGTTGACGCTTCCTCACTCCTGTTTAGTCGCTACCGCCACAAGTTTATTATCCGCGACTGAATCCATCTCTAAAAGCTTTGACGAACGCTAATTCTCACCACGGCTCACAGCCCACAATCAGTGATAAGTCACTTGTGTCAACAAAAACTATGTAATGGGTCGTTTATTCGCGACGCGAAACACATACCCACGACTTGACAAGATCAACCTCGACATTGCTTGTCTCGCCCTCGTGTCCACGCAACGTTGAACTGTATCATGAATGGCGTATTTTGACGAATGACGATTTACTTACGCAGTTACACTGTTGATTGTTATTATAAAATAATTTTTTTTGTGTTTGGGTGATTGGTGGGATCACAAATCACGACTCAACAGCACTAATACATACAATTGCACAATGCAGGATACAAGAGTGGAGTGGTAGTGTTTTTTAAGGATGGTCATATAAACACTTTTTCTCGCTCCCTTTACTTCCCCATCCTCCTTGCTACCAAAATGGACAAAGGAAATACAGCCTTCCCTCCGATAAGTTATGGGTACGGTGGACGGCAATCACCATAACTTAGCAGAGATTGTAATTTATTGATTTTTTTGTATCGTTCATCAGGAGAATTATTCAATTGAGTGGTAAATGAAAGAGGACCTGGGTAACAAGACCACCCCCCCCCACTTCCCTTCAGTTCAAGCCAAAATCCATCCCCAAAGCTTTCACTGCTAGAAAAGAGAAAAAGTCTCAGGCTCCTGGCTAGTTTGCTACCTTCCAGACGGTATGAGACGCATCAATACCTTCTTTCGTCTGAGCTAACAATTATTACACGGGGAAAGCCACACATATCCATTTGTTAAACCGTGTATTGCCAGTTGGTGTGATATCTGAGTATCATAAAATGTCGCAGATCCGTCTTTCCAATGGGAAACGTATGTAAAAATGCAAGCGCAAGGATGAGAACCCAGATTTATCTTAAACTGCACTGGTGAAATGGGCTACGGCGGAGTTCGGCCTCGTCAAAACGCTGTCACAGACATCAATCAGCAAGATATTTCGAAAGCGGTATAATCTGGAGAATATGGATCCAAGCAGCCTAAATGCAAATCGAAAGCGACTGGCTCGACATCCCATACTGGAAGAAGCTGTGTCTCTTTGCGTTTTAAATTTTTAAACACCGCGGACTGATTATAACCGGGGATGTCAGGTAATCTGTGCGGAAGCTCATCGGCTTGCTCAATTGCTTGGAACTCCTAATGACGCCATCAATTTCTCGCCCTGATGGCTTCACAAGTTACAGCAACGTCACATGCTCCGTGCTATCAACATTTACGGTGAAAGGGTCTCGGTCGACGTGGAGGCTATGAGTAAACCTCTGCCTGATGTAAAGAAAGTCATTGCAGAGTACGCGCTGTGTGATGTTTACAACATGGATGATACCGGTAATCTTTTTGCGATATTTTTAACTGAAACCGAGGCTTACAAAATTAATTTGCAGGTTATACTACAGAATGAATCCTGACAGGACTATTGCACAGGATGAAATTGAAGGACACAAAAGAAAAGTTGAGTATTTGCAGAATGCTTCTTGCCATATACTAACACAGGGGTATGCACTGACATCCTATGCAGTCGAGGATTAAAAAATTGCGCTCACTGCAATGCTGGTGGCTATGACAAGCTGCAGCCTTTCTTTATCGGGAAAGCCAAGAAGCCTTGCCGCTTTGTCAAGGAATTCGGTAAAGCACATGAATTTCTCTATCGCAACAACACAAAGTCTTATATGAAGGGTGTTTTCTTTCAGGAATGGCTTGCAAAAGTAGACAAAACATCGAGGGTGCATAGCCATTTAAAATTACACAACTAACCATTTAAAAATTGTATTGTTCTGGATCAAGAGTATAATATTCTTCTATTGATTGACAATGCTCCATCGCATACGACGAATGACCTTACGGAAACTACGTCAATGTTTAGCTGCTTCCACCACGTACGACGTCCATGATTCAGCCGATGAATGCTGGTGTCACCACAGCGTTCAAGCAGCGATAT